CTGTGTAGCTAGTCTTAAAAAATATTTATGTTTGCCCGCGTGATCAGCATTGATATGATGTTCCAGTGCTGAGCTGATGATATTTTTGTACTCATCTATCAAGGTAAAGTTAACATTCAATGATTGTAAAGACTGATCCCATATCTTGTTTGAGCTGTACACATGATTCTTTCAGCCTATTCCTACACTCATAAACACTGAGCATCGAAATAGGTAGTGACTGGACATACACAATACTTGTTTCAGTCATCTTAGTCTATGAAGACTCAACATGTTTAGCTAGTACCGTACGCCTGAACTTAACATAGCACACCTGGTTGTTCCAACGTAAGTGAGCAATGTTCTAAAGACTTACGTGATCGAATGCTGTTTAGAATAATACTGCTTTGATTGGATGATTCTCTCCATTTGTAAGTAGTATAGCTGAATTAACAATCTTTCTTTTTCTTCACACAGACGATATACGGTGAATGCTGTATTAGAAGAGCGTTTGTTGTCAACATGGGAAGACGATGGACCATTCTAGTGTGTGTTGACATAACGTCTGTACACACGCACATATGTATTTATGTAATGAATAACGATAATTATTATTATAACAAAACGGTAGCACAATTAATTGTAGATAACTTTTCGTTTATTCATGTCCCTTATTTACTATTTTATTTCGCATTTAAATTTTATAAAAAAACTTTACACTTGTCGAATACTTTGCAAAGAAAAACAAGCAAACAAAAGAACCAATCATAAGCCTCATTTTCATGAAACAAAAATCATTTTATTATAAGTCAATATTCACTTCGGAAGTAAAGGAATTTATTGTTTAGGGATGGGGAAAAGTTTCTGAATTTTAATTTAAAATGGAACATGAAAATATTGAACAAGCCCACTCGCGACTAACTTCAAAATGTAATTCCTGGAGTTCTAGTGAGAAGCCGTGACCACTAAAGTTCAACTGTGTCGGGTGCGAGATGGTTATCCACCTCAGGCAGTGGATAAAGGGTAGCAAAAGATCATGGATTGATTGAACTCAGATACTAACACCTTCGAATGCCGGTTCAGTGGTCTAGAGATTAAGCGTTTGTACGAGACTGGAGTTTCCGGGTTCGAGTTCCATGTGCAGGGTCGTGTATGAGCACTGTTGAGGAATACTGTACTAGAACAAAATGGCCGTTCAGTGCTCCCACATTTCAGTGATGGTCTAACTTGGATTGAATCGTGAATCCAACTGCAAGAATTCAATAAATGGTTAGCGATTGCCTGACTAGGATTAAATTAGATAAGATGTTGGATATGTTCAGTGACATTTAGACCATGAAAAGTGAATCGTTGATATTTAGAGTGGTCTTAGAGTGATAGTCAAATGTTTGTCGGTCTAAGTTTCCATACCATATCAACACGACGAGATGGAACGAACAAGATGAATAGCAAAGGAATCAAAATAATGTAGTAGTACCTTTAGCAGTGCTTGAAGTCACATCTGTTTACAAGAATGATAGTGAATTAGTGTTTATTCAATATAAATTCAAGACGAGAACGTTACAAAAGTGAAAAACGCGTTACTAATGTGTAGTAGTGGAAATAAATGTGATTGACCACTGCGTGTGGGCAATCAAGTGTTCAGCCTACTAACTATTAAATATATGTGATTTCCTTTCCGCTCATCGATTTCTACTCCAGACTCACTGACAGTAACTGGCTGTAGTCGAGCGTTTACTCTTGTTCTCTTTTTGATCGTGAACTGCGTATCTAAAATAACGTGATCTAGTCTCTGTGAATAGTATCATTTGAGTATCCGATCGAGCGGGAGTACAAACTCGGTCACCAGTCATTTGTGTAATATGTCAATATGTCATGGAAGAGAGAAATAGTTCCATTCGTCTGTTATGTCAGTCATCACAAAAAAATAAGTGCAACCAAAACAACAACTCAATAGCCTTACCATTAGGGAATTCATTAAAATTTAGTAGATCTGAAAGCATCCAGGGATTACAAGGGTTGAAGAGAAACCAAAGTAAAAAAATAAACAAAATAATTAAAATACAGCGAGTACTCTGTTGTAGTAAAAAAAACAGGCGACTAAATGAACATGACTGGTCAGGTCATTCATAAGAATTGGGAAAAGAAAACACTAATCACGGGATAGATCAAATATAATAGGAAGTAAGGAGCAAGAGTACTGGGAAAGTAAATATGTTGATTACAAAAGGGACAGAGGGAATAAAAAGTGAGGCAACTGACTTAAGCCTGTTACACCTCATGGAGGAGTACAGGCCACCCACCAGCATTCTCCATTCAATTCTGTAATGGAAAATCCTTTCCAGTTACTATTCATCCTTTTGTTGTCTGCTTCCAGTTCTCGACACAGTGTGTTCTTCGATCTTTCACTTTACTGTTACCCTTCAAGATTCCAAGTTAGCGCTCGCCTCGTGATGCAGTTTGATGATTTTCCTAAAGTATTTCCTCTTCACCTCCAGAGCCTTTTCCTAATTTCCTCCTCAGAGAGAACCTGGTTTGTCCTCCACCATAGTAGGTTGTTGCTGATGGTATCCGTTCGACGGACATTGAGTATCTCACGTAGACAATTGTTTATAAATACTCATACTGCTTTGATGATGGTTGTGGTAGTTCTCCACATTTCAGCTTCATACAGTAGAACTGTCTTGACGTTCGTATTTAAGATTGTGACTTTGATGTTGGTTTACAGACAGTTGTTTTGAGTTTCATATGTTCTTCAACTGTAGATATGTTGTCCCTACTTTGCCCATCCTCGCCTTTTCGTCTGCATCAGATCCTCCCTATTCATCAATGATGCTACTCAGGTGCGTGAAAGTATCCACATCTTCTAGAGTTTCTTCATCAAGTGTAACCGGGTTGGTTGATGTTCTCTGTGCTATATATGAGGATATTGGTTTTTTCCTTGTGTATGTTGCTGTCTGTGCACGATCGATCAACATGGGATTTGACCTGTTGATATTGAAGCTGGACGCCTAGTGAGTCCTTCATCCGGTTTAGCAACACTGTTGAAAACGTCTCCTGGTATCGATAGTAGTATGACGCCTGTGTAGTACTTACATTTGCTGAGATCCTTTCTTTGTTATCTTGATGAGGTACCTTTCTTTCCAGATGTCTGTTATGGATGTTTGAACAAATGAGATGTCGTATATGTACATAAATTTAGCTAAGTGAAATGTTAGACATAGTTTAATAAACGTAAGAGACATGAGTCATAACCATATGCTAACTAATAAATCCCTATTAGGTAATTAGAATTTTCATTTTCGATAACTGAGAATATCTAACTTGTATGAGTGGTCCACTGAATCACGAAGTCACTAATATTTGCATATTGAGTATAGCACATGACCTGATACAAAAACATATTCACTTAGTAGTACCACTTGAATCGAGTTTTAGCTAACCAACAGTTCCAAAGTCTGCATTGGTTATTAGGTATTCAACCTCATAGACGATCCATATATTATTTTGTTTTGAGATGGTGAAGATTTGTAGCTCAGGTGGATGCTTTTGATAGAGTTTTGTTCTCTAAACGTGACTAAACCATTCAGCTCAGAGAACAAAACTCCATCAAAATTATTTTGTTCTACATCGATACGTCTGAACCATAAAATCAAAACGTTTAGCGCAAATCGCCCGTCACAGACACTTATCGATTGACTATTGGATGTTGAAAAATCAATTTTGTACGAGATACGCAGTTTGAGAAAATGAAAATCGATCGGAGGAAGTATCTATTTGATGTTTCTAAATATTCATCAACAACTGTGACTTTAAGTGGGTGTATTTGATAAAGTTTGTAACGAATAAGGACTCAATTTCGTGGATTAGTTGAAGTTAGACATTAACACCGTTGGATGCCAGCTCAGTGGTCTAGTAGTTAAGTGCTCGCGAGATCAGCAAGTCCTGGGTTCGAATCCCGCGAGGCGGGACCATGGATGCGCACTACTGAGGAGCCCCACAGTAGGACGAAACGGCCGTTCAGTGCTTCCGGGTTTTCCATGGTGGTCTAGCATCAATTGACTCATGATCTTAACAACTGAGAATAAGGACTCAATAACATTGACGAACATGTAGTGACTAATTAGTGAATTTAATCGAATCATAAAAAGGTCGACTAGACTTTAATTTATGGACGAACCAATCAGGTATAAGATAAAGTCTCGGATTTTGGCGCGAAATTCACTTATCAATTTGGTAAAATAGAGTTTTGGCATTATAGCCGATGTCAGTTCGTGATGAAAACCTTAAATATAATTCCTAACCTTAACCGTCAACTGTAAATCACAATTCGAAATCCTCGCAAGGTTTATAACCCTTATTTGATTCTATTTATTAGGTGGACACCATCAAGGTCAGTCCAGCGTCGCTCAAAGGTAGTCCACAAATTATAGTCTCACCAAAAGGTCGATCACATCATGAATTTGACTACAAAGAAGAGTTACATGGTTTCAAGCTTTTAGATCCCGTTCATGATAATAAGTATCACATTCTGTAGGTTACTGACAGGGTTTCCCATTTAAACAACCTCAATTAGAGTTTGTAAAATATCATATGACTCTGAGGTGACCTACTAATTTTCATGCCTAAGAATAAAATATTTATAACCTCTGGGAGAAATCGAAGTAACATTTTAGGATAGTATATATAGTAAGTTTTTTTTCAAAAAAAAATATTTCGAATCGTTATTGCATAATTAATTGGATGAAACTATATGTACGAAAAATATAAAAAAATCTACTATAAAGATAATTAAACATAGTTGTTAATGAAAGCTCAACTTAGAATTTCCTGAAGAGTAATTATTACAAAATATTTTAAAGAAGGAACAAACATGGAGATGAGTTCTCTCTGAAATTTCATACTCATTAATACTACTTAAAAGTAGTTTGAAAAATGTAAACAAAATATTGGGAGGTTGGACAAAAAGACTAAAATTATTGTAACATTGTTAAATTAATGAAAAGCAATAATACGAATTTCTATCGAGCATTTATTTTCGGAGGATAACTAGAATACAGAATAGATGATACGATAACAGTTAATGTGCCAAAAATGAAACTATTACTCAAATGCATCCCAAGGAATACAACAGAGAATGCACATGATAAAATAATTGACACGCAACAGGCGAATGCCTACAAGAAAGAAACAAGAGAAATGACACATGAAGGTAGATAATAATGAAATAGAATTATTGATTAACGTAACTAATCATAAAGACAAAAAATATAAATATTAACCATATCGTAGATAAAAAACTGTAGTGAGGTTTACAAGCTTGTATATCGTAACGGCTAGATCGAGATACATCAAATAGATATTCAAGTTTTTGGTCATAAGCTAGTATAGTTATGAGTCTGCACCAGTGAAGAGTTCCACACTAGTTCAAAGCAAATGTTATATGGTCCCTAGTTCTAATGGTGGTCTCCACGTGATGGTAATTTGTGACTGAAACTAATTCATATGATTAACACTAAATCAATATGTGTAAATCAACTACTCAGAACTTGTATTTTTTCGTCAAATCGGAAGAGAATAGTTATTGGTTAAAACTTAAGGAAGTAGAGTGTCAGGAAACGAAGAAGAAAGAACAGGAAAAATAAATATCACTAAAGTAATAGAATGGTTAGATTTAAAAAATAACATGAACTGTTACATTCAATAAGATTTGGGACCAGGTATCCGGAATTAGGAATATTTACAACTGCTTACATATTGTTCACATGAAAGATCACTAGACTGGTTTAATACAACTGGGAAGTCCAGTGTTATATTTTAATAAATATGAGTTAATTAGAAATCTTATTATGGTGGAATGGAATTGAATGATAAAATGTCGAAATGACTTCGGCAGTAGTATAAGTAATTTGCCTATCGAACTGAATCTCAAACGCCCAACAAAGTAACGCTTAGAAGACAAAGCCGCTGGTTAACTGACTATATAACATTAATGAGGATTGAAACTTTTGTTAATGTATAAGGTATGCTCAAACCATGATAATTAATTTGACTATAAGTAACCTATTAGATAGCAAATGAACAAGGTGCATCCACCATCTGCGTACAGGGATTGAACCAAAGACCTACAATCTCACATGCGAACGCCTAACCTCCAGACCATTGAGCCGGCGTTCAACGTCATTAACGTCCAACTTCAAGCAATCCATCGTTTTGCGCAACGCTTTATCCATTGCCTGAGGGGATCAATCGTCTCATACTCGACAGAGTTGAACTCTATTGATGACGGCTTTTCACTAGAACTACAGGAGTTACATCTTCAAGCTAGTCGCTAGTGAGTACATGATTGTTATTAGTACGAGGATTTGTGTAGACTGAGGTACTTTCACAGTTAGAATCACGAACTGATCTTAGCTAGACTACCACTCAGAACCTAGAAGCGCTAGATGACCGTTTCTTCCTACTGTAGGACTGTTCAGCAGTTCGCATCTACAACTACGTGCGCAGGAGTCGAACCTAGGGTCTTTGGTTTCGGTCTGAGTTGTGTTAGTTCCGTACTTCTAAGGCCTTAAGCCCGGAGACGGAAATCAGTAGGATGGGGTGTGTGCGATCTTTCGACCTAATCCTTTCTAAACTCATCCTGTTTTTGGAAGGCAGCATCGCAGGAGATGCCGGTTGTCTGGAAAAAACACCTTACTACCATCACAAACCTATACGGTTGGTAGTATAACTTTGCTGTCGGACAATGGTTTTGGCACCCTTATTTTTATTACTCTTCACTCAAATCGTCTGGGATGGTGTGGATTAAGGAAATGAATGTTTCGGGCAATATAGACTGGTTAGGTCGTTATGATAAGCAAACCCAAACGCCACATGAAGATAGCGGCTACGTTCGGGAATCAAATAACAACTAAGTAAATCAAAGTCACAAGCTAATTAAAGAGGTTTTAATTTTTGTTGTTTAATACCCACACTAAATCTGAGAAATATATAGTTATAAGACTAGCAACTAATTAAAAAGTCACCCCTACAAGTATTTATTTCACTGTTGTTTTTATGAATAACCTTTGCTTTGACCAGTAAAAAAACATGTTTTCAAGTTGTCATTGGATTGGTTACAGTAGTGTGATATTTCACAGCTTGCTACATCGTTAGTATAAACAAACACAAAAGTCTTATTCCAGTTTTTTTTAAGGTATACAAGAAACGGGTTATGGGAATTATATATATATATATATATATATATATATATATATATATATATATATATATATATATATATATATATGATTATAGTTCAAATTTCGGGAAATATAGCGTTGCACAACACTTTCTCTCATGATACTGTTTATGCTTCCTGCTAGTTCATCTTCGTGATAAGAAAGAATGTCAACTATGCGGTATAAGCTCCTTTTTGACTGTCAATCAGTCACAACGTAGAACCTGTACATGTGTACATCGGTTCAAGTTGTCATACCCCATTAGCACATCGATATAAAGTTATCAGATCAAATCCCAGAATAGAAGAGGTAGTGACAGCATCAGTTGTAATAAGAAATATTAGGCACAGAAGATACGACTGGGAAAGAAAATATAAATTAGCGGAACAAAAAAGGAATTTAGAATCCCAGGATTTAGGAGAAAACAAAGGATGGTTTCACAAGCGCTACCGCAAACGATTTGAGCCATGTCATTCAAAGTCTCTAACCACTGGTTACGACAATCAAACGAACCTCAACCAAGTAGTCTGTATCAATTAACATGGATAAGTCCAATTGTCAGTGACTTCATGGACTGATGCCATTTTTTGGTTTGACCGCCCCATATTTTCTTCCAACCTGCTCCTGAACCAGAAAACATCGCCTGTCAAGGTAGACGGTGGTTGGGCATACGTAACACATGTCCCAACCACCTCAGTTGATGAAAATTTACTGCTTCACCAATCCTTGCCTGGTACTCTATTCCTAACCTAGCCAATGTTTACCTCGTGGTCCCAAAATACACGAGAGTTTATCGTTAGTTCCGTTTCTAAGATGACTAAAATCATATCCAAAGTAAAACCCGTTATATGTTTACATAGATTTACGCCAATAAAGTTCATCGTTGTAGTTGTTAAATCCACAAAATTTACTTCACAAGGTTGCTTTGACGTTGTCATAATCGAACAAAAATTTCGTTTCGAATAAACTAACCAGATTGGAATGTGTCAGTCCAGTTAAATATCAGTCAAAGAGAGATAACAGTTACCATGTTTACATTCAAACTCTTTTCATGATCATCGAGTCAGATTAAACCCTGTCTACAGTTAAAGTTCAAAATTATAAATAAATGTCTAGATTCAAGTAAAAACTATACTTGTTTACTGCTCATTTTTTTCGTTTACTTAATAATATCCAGTTTAACAGGGTAAAACTTTGTGTTATATAAACAAGCAACTAATTATCGTTTCTGTTAGCGGGACATAGACTAGATTAAAGCATGCTCAATGCATGATTGCTTTGGTGCACGCTGATTGGCTGATTCTTATCCAATCAGCACTAGTCGATAGTCGGAGAATACTCTGGAATCTTCTTATGTAAAAACTATAAATATACCGACGTTTTCCCCTATTGTGCTTCCTACTGGCTTCTGACTTGCTATTTGGAATATAATCTTCTTCCTGTTCAACCGTGTTCTGATTTGGGGACTTGTCGAGTGAATCGGTGTCCGAGAATACTAAGCAATAGGAATAGCTGGGTCATTAACCGTAAGAAGGAAGAGATTATAACAGTTTCAATGTGAAAAGAAAAGAAAATACAAAATTTACTTACTTTAAGAATATTGTTAGCATATTTAACTACTAAAGCTACTAATAAACCACCGAATGCATGTAGAAATACAACTATCCAAACAAACCAATCAAAACCATGAAAATAGCCATTTTGTGTAATATCAGTCCAATCGGTCAATAGTTGTACAGGTATACCAATGATAATTGATGCAAAAGCTAACTCAATATTACGATGCCATATAGATTTGTTGGTATTTTTCAGAAGCTTAATTATGAAAGAAGATAATTGAAAAATCAACAAAGATGATACAAAAAGTATATGATGAGTATATATGTATGAGCGCTAATACCATTAAGATGCATAAAGATATGGTTGAGAGGATTGATGTTAGGCGGTTGCAAGCATTCTTTGTTTGGTTAGATGTATCTACAATTTCGAGAAAAATGACGCGTCCAGTGAAGTTGATTGCAGATACACCTTGTTGACAAGTAAAAACTAGCATAAAACCTAGATTAAGGAATTTGTTGCCGATTCTCCTCAACCATTAATCTGGATTAAAACATATTGCATGAGATGTCAAGCTACCAGAGATTTTAACGATTTAAATATGCTCTTTATGATAGCTGTAATCACCCCGTAAGAAGATGTATTTCCATGCATCTCGTATATGATACCCTTGAAATCGTTGACTAAATAGTGGGTATGAATGTAAATGACAATTCATGATTTCCCTTGATGTTGAGTCACTTTTCAATAATATCCGACTTACACAGATTACTTGTTTTGCATACAAAAACACATAGATGATAATATGAATGGGTGTGTTTACTACAAGGATACGCAGAACCTTTATTCTCAACCGATAGGTAATAAATACTGATTTTAAGAAGTAAAAGAATGAAATTATGCACAAAACTTTGTCGATTAGGTAAAACAAGTTATCTGTTGTTAGTAGATTTTGCATCAGTTCACTGCATATGAACATGTAGTTGTCTATATAATAGTATTTTTGACGTTTAGCTTAACTGGTGTCAGTGTAAGACTTATCGATGAAATTACGGGCTTTCGCTTGGCTGGATCACTGTTTATTATTGCTTTTTTCTTTAAGGCTGTGAAGGTTACCTAAGGTAAGAAATCTCTTCATATTATGTAACTCATTTCAGTCAGTCAGCCAGCTACAACGTAGGACTAGACACATATATGCATCGGTCCAAGTTGTCACACCTGATAAACACAACAACATGAACACCAAATTCATAAAACCAGTTACTCCAATGGTAATAATATATAAAAGGAGATTGCATATGAGGATATAATACAGGAAGAAAGAATTACTTCATAGAAAGAAAGGTATGAAGTAATTTTAATCTTACGGCTTAAGGGAACACAAAGAGTGTATACGCCTACGCCATGGTGATCGATTCTGAGCCATGTTACCCAGAGTCTTCAACCATTGGTTACGATAGTCACGTGGACCCCAAACAAACAGTCTGCATTTACCAACATGGTTCATACCAGAAGTTAATGACTTTATGGATTGATTCCACGTTTTGGTTTGGCCACTCCTAACTTTCTTCCAACAGTCTCCAACACTAGTCAGCATTGCACGTCGTGGTAGTCGGGCGTGCGTAATACGCGATCTAACCATATCAGTTGATGTGGATTCGAAACTTTATCAACTGATTTATCATCATTCTTTAATGTCTTGCGTCTACCTCACTATTACTTACCCGATGATCCCAAAAGATGCATGCAAAAATGTCATCAGACACCATTTACCAAATAATGATTTACTCATTCACTTTGAGCACACTATTTGTATGTGCGGGATAATGATGCTTACGTATCTGTCTATATAAAAGTGGGGCGGGGTTTGAACAGGTGAATTACTGGCTGAAAACCGATTATCTTAACCTCTGAGCCACTATCCTCACTCATATTGGAAGGAATTATCAATAATGAGTGTATGTACTGTACTTTCTACTCAAAAAATATGTATTTAAGTTTCAATAACGCTTTCATGTACGGATTATCTATCCCACATTTCTGCTATTCGCAGAAATATCACCCCGAAATGTTGGACGCCAGTAAGTAGGTTCTGCTTATTATTGGAACAGAAAATTGAATCAAGTTGTACTTAAAACTTACTCTCAATACATTAGAATTTGCGGACAATAATTAGTCGTATTGAGATTTTGCCACAAGAACAAATGTGGTTGAAAGTAAAATCAACATTGCCCCCTCTCATACCATTCAGTTACTAAGGTTGTATTTGTCTGTAGAACACACTTTTGCAACTTTTTGATATTAATTAGTTGTAATCTTACAAGGTTCATATACAAAAACTTTGAAATATACTTGAATGTGATTAAGAGTTCTATTTTCGCTCAGCTGGTGGTTAACACAGGATACGTCAAGTTGACTTAAATAAAGTTTTTGAAGCTATCTGTTTTATCACATCAAATTTACGACGTGGTTCACGGGTTCGTCTTTTGCATACTGCTGAACCCACATTCAAAAGCCTGACCTTTGTACTTGAAAGAATTTCGTACAATCCCTCTCTCTATCTTGATCATCGACATAAATCATAGAATAGTAAATTATAGTAGAACATTGATCCATTTCTCTTTTTCTAAATTTGTTTTAAACTTATTTCATCTTTGTATTATTACACAATCTTAATATTTATCACTTTATTTTTGCATAACTATTATTAATTTGACTTTTTTTAAAATATTTGTTAAATTCCCTATGAAATATTATGTAATTTGACATGTTATCAGTATAGGGATTTGTGGAACTTGTAGTATTTTCATAGTTGAAATCACGAGTTGATTCAAGCTAGACCACCATTGAAAACCTGAAAGCACTGGATGGCTGTTTCGTCCGAGTATGAGACTCCTCAGCATTGAAATGACTAATACACAATGTTTTCAATTTTCACAAATAATTAACTTATCCTCTCGATCTTGTAAGTAGCCATCACGATTAACTGCATTATATCATGTTACAAACAACTGATTTTTTTAACAATCAAAACATTTAATTAATAACAGGGTCTACAAGGTTATAATGGTTAATGGATACAGACTTAAGACCGTAATTTAACTCGAAATCTATGGATATATCCATTATCTATTAACATTTATTAGTTGCATAGAGAATAATAATGTAACTAATTAACCCAGCATAGACCTATGTAGTCCACCTCGAGCCAGACCCTACATTGACAATGACCAAAGAGTTAATCATAATATCTAACTGCCCAAACCATAATGTGACTTAAGCCGGTGACCCACTAGTCAAAATAAATTATTGAACAGCTAAACCATTGTTGAACATTAGTTCCATATAATTTCATCCTATGTGGTCAACCACATCGAAGTAGATTAATTGGAGTGCAAGTACATGACATGATTTATATGATATATCGGATCATTGAGTGAATGTGATAGATTGCAAATAACATGTGATTTGTTAGCTTATCAAAAGATAAAAGGATTGGATTTATATACGAAATTATGACATAATGGAAGTTCATTAAGTTACAGAAACCAGATATCTGTTATATAGGGAAAAATCACTCTACATTAAATTACGATAATAAAGTTGGAAAATGGTTGGTTTATTCTCTTCTCACAAGCTTTAATGCAATAACTATAACCCAATATATAACATAGCGATTTATAAATATTTAATATTTTAATCACTCTCTAATTTACAAAACAACTGAAATGATATAAATAGTCTCTAGATAGAATAACTTACCATTTCAAAAAATACACATGCCAAACCAGACAATATGGATGCCCATACAGCACAAAATAATCCTAATGGAGGATTATATGCTATAGGTGGGTGATTAGTTTTATTAGAATTAACGGGACTTTCAACTGTTGCAACTCCAATAAACAATAAAACCAAAGCAAACCATTGCATTTTACTAACCGGTTTCCGAAGAATAAGCATACTGAATAATGCTGTAGTAAACAATTTCAACTGATAAGCCACCTAAACTAATAAATATTCTATTACGAAATATTATTAATCTTACCTGAAATGTGACTGCATCTAAATTACTCAAAGCTGTTATAAGAAGACGATTTTGAATGACATATATTATAGCCGGTATAAAAGTCATTAAAACATCTAGTGGATTGTGTTGTATGAGTTTTAAACAGTTTTTTAAATTCCCAGTAATGCTTAGAACTGATACACATGTCAAGAATTTCAAACATTCGCTCATTATTACCAAAGATGAAGAGTTGAACATTTCGGTTGGTCGTGATCTTGCATGACGCATACACAGAATATAAAGTAGATTTTGAAATACCAGAATGAATAAGCTTAAATATTTCATTGTAACCATCCGCAACATTGCACTTTTCAGAGTATGCTCCTAAAAACCTAAAATACATATAAATAAACAGGTAAACAACCATCGTACATGAATTGAAGTTTCCACAAAAGAGGTTACATATCTAAGGTACGGAAATTCTGTATTTTTGTTTATTTATTTTAACATATAGATATTGGTACAAGGAGGCACCAAATATATGTGCGCCACACAAATCCCATTCGATATGTGTGAGGGCTGTGGTACTGCCCAGGTGCCCAAACTGAAGTAGGTGGTTTTCTTAGGAGGCCACACCCGGAGCCTTCGACCTGAAGGTCTGATTCACAAGGCAGTGGAGCAACGTCAGGAGATGCAGTCCCATGGTAGCTGGTGACCAACGGTTGGTTCATGCGCCATTTGTTCCTTCAGGATACTGGAGCCCATGTGCACCATTGGTTTGGGATCAGGGTTTTCCAACTCCCCTAGGTGGACTCTCCATGTTCACCAACCCGGTTAAAGCGCCGGACATCCTCTTTTCGTCCTCTCAATTTTGTGAACAACACCCCCGCCACGAGAAGGCAATAAGTAGGACTTTCCTGACAGAGGCTATATACGCGTGACCATGTGAGAGCACTTCGAGTGGGAGAGCTGACTCTCCCCACTCTCGACCGTACCAGGGAATTTGGGGGGCAAATGAAAGAAAATTTGGGCCTTTGGTAAATTCGTCAATTTATTACTTATTTATTTAAACATAAATATTGATACAAAGGGGCATCAAATACATATGCGCCACACAATTACAACGAGAATGTAAGGTGCGTATGAGAAAAAGGGGGACCATAACAAATAGGAAGTAGTGTATGATAGTGAGATAATAATAATGGAAGAGGTAGTTCAAGTAGCAAAGGTACAACCAGAAAGAATTTTTCCAGTTAAAGAAGTTACGTCCATTTTTATGGCCTCTATTCTGAGCCATATCTGATAACGTTTCTAGCCACTGCGTTGCACAATCTCTAGGACCCCAACCACAGAGTCGTGAAGGACCAACAGAACCCAATCATGTACAGCTTTCTTTCATACCATGACACATGTCATAACTGATAACCTCTCCGCCTTTTCCAACCAGTTCCAGCGTCAGCAAATAATACACGACGTGGAAGTCTCTTGGACGAAATTTGTAGAACATGTCCAAGCCACAAAAGCCAACGTTTCAAGGTGGTGACATCAATTGGATTATCGTCGCTGTGCCCGAACACACGATGCCGAACCCCTACATTACTAACATGGTGTTGCCACTGGATGTCAGCAGCCTTTCGGAGACAACGATGATTGAGCACGGAGAGTCGTCTAACATTCTCAACTCGGGGAGGCCAGGTCTCACAGCCATAGAGCAAACCCACTCTCACTGACGCGTTGTAGATCCGACCTTTTACAGCCAGAATAACATCATGAAGGGGCCAGAGATGGCCCAGATCGGTATAAGCTGCTTTGGCTTTCGCTATATGTGAATTAATCTTACCACTCACACCACCACCAGCACTTATGCACTACCCAGATACACGGACTTCTCGACTACCCAAGGTGAGTGCAGGATCAAGGTCCTCCCAGTTAGGTAAAAGTGATTTGCACTTCGTAGGTGTAAAGCACATACCATACCTACGGTTACTAATTGCCAACTCATTAAGTGAAGATTTCATGGCATGGATATCATCGCACAGTAAGACAATATCGTCCGCATACTCAAGGCCGAAAAGTCTTTCTCCAGGCAACAGATCCACACCATTATCTACATCCATCAGAGCTGTTTCCAGAACGTCGTCGATAGCAAAGTTGAAGAGGAATGGTGAGATTGGGCAACTCTACCTAACCCCATTGCTTGAACGGAACAATGGAGAGAGATGGCTGTATGTCCTCACTCTACCTGAGGTGTTTGTATATAAGGCTTTTAAGATGTTAGTAAACTCCTCAGGCACACTCTTCTTCAATAGACAATCCCAGAGAGCAGTCTTGTCCAACGAATGGAGGGCAGTCATGATGTCAAGAAACACTACGATTGTCGGCCTGTGATAAGTATGACGGTGTTCTAACATTTTGGCGAAGGGTGAAGATACAGTCACAACATCCTCGGGTTTTGAACAATCTACGATGTATGACGGAAGCCAATAGTTCGGACGCAATCGGAAGTAGACTTATCCCTCGATAATTGTTACATAAACGATGTGAACTCTTTTTAATGATAGGAACAATTACCGACCCATTACACGATGTTAGGACAGACCTTTGTGAACAACTCGGTCAGTTCCTTAACCAGAAAGTCATCACCATCCTTAAAAAGGGCCGGAAGCTAGTCATCTGGGCCCGGTGATTTGTAGCGCATCAAGAGTAGGAGTTTGTGCAGAGATATCAAATCAAAACGGCATAAGAAGAAACTAGAATAGGCCGAAAGAAGTGATAATTGTTGTCTTTTTGTATATCTTTTGGCGCTACCAGTATTCGGTGATAAGCTCTGACTAAATTGTCCTGCTTCGATTTGGGCATTCAAGCGAAAGTCCAGCCTTCACACAAGTCTAATGACGAAGTGTAGCGTATATATATTTCGTAATTCGTTGTACCAATGTTTGTGTTTAAATAAATAATATATATAATAATCTGGCTAAATTAACTTTGGAAAATAACTTTCCGTGGAGGTGAAGAGCAAAACCAAGAATCTTCGGGAACAGGAACTTATCTGGTACTGTAAAGTCTCTTCGATTTCAATGTGCTGGTGACCATGGTCACAACAAGGACGCCAATCCCTATATTTTTAATTACCATATGCGATATAAGTAATACAAATTAAACTACATAATGTATTTTTCAAGATTATAAGAATCATTAAATCTTACATGTCGTGCGGAATATATATCCATGAGGATCTCAGCCTGATTGGTCGCATTAAGGAACGATCAGAAGAAGTAGAAACGAATGAACGCCACCGGAACGGTGGACAACCTTATAGCGTTCATGCTTGACTAACTTGCTTATTGCGAAAGAGGATTGGATAGCAGCCCTAGATAACGGTCTGTTTGTCGATGTGATATTCATAGATTTTAGCAAAGCATTCGACAAGGTTTCACACGTAGGTCTTATGCACAAGCTCACAAGCTTCGGAATAATAGGTACTGTACATGAGTGGATAGGAAACTTATGTGACCGCAGACAGAGAGTGAGGGTCAACGGAACGCTATCCAATTGGAAGCCGGTCAAAAGTGGTGTATCCCAAGGCACCATCTTAGGCCCACTGGTCTTCTTTCTCTACGTTAATGAGTTACCGCTGTTGCTTAGGTCGTCGACATTATTGTTTGCGGATGATGTAAAAATCTGGAGAACAATAAAAAGTGCGGCTGATCATCTGGATCTTCAAGCTGACCTAGATGATTTAGTTAGATGGGCTCGAGAGTGTGGCTTAGAAATCAATGCTAGGAAGAGTGTGTTAATGCACATCGGTCACGGTAATAGTTACCGTTACACTATTGAGGGTAAACCTCTTCCATGTGCTCAAGAACATAAAGACTTGGGAGTAGTACTAAGTCATGATTTAAAAACAACTACGCATTGCAAAGCAGTCGCTGTCAAAGGTTTTCGTGCATTATGGTCACTTCACCGAGCGTTCAAATCTTTTGACGAGGAAACGTTCCGAATTTTATATCCCATATATGTTAGACCACATTTAGAGTACTGTATCCAAGCAGCTAGCCCGTGTCTGGTAAAGGATACTAACTCCTTTGAGCGTGTCCAGCGTGTAAGAACGAAATTAGTGAAGGGTCTTTCTAGACTCCCTTACGATGAGCGTTTAAAACGCCTAAATCTTTCCCCCTTGTCGTATCGTAGGACACGAGGTGACCTTAAACTGGCATTTCGTATCTTTAATTATGATTTGGGTGTTAATATGTCTTATCTTTTTGCTCCCTCCAGCACTAATAATCTCCGAGGTCATAGCAAGAAGGTTCATAAACCACGACCTAATAAACTTAAAGTGGGGTCCCGTTTTTCTCACCGAGTAGTCAATGATTGGAACGCCTTACCCGAACAAGTGGTATCAGCCCCATCAGTGAATACTTTCAAGGAAAAGCTGGACCTTCACTGGAAAGCAATGTGTCAGGATTAATACAGGTTCACCAACCTACTATCCCTATTCACATTGTGAATGTTCAGAGCTAAACTATCCTCAAACCACTCTGAGTGGTATGGGAAAATTCTTCACAGAATTGTTGTGCTATACAAATGCTCGCAGCCTACTAGATAAAATGGCGGGGCTTGAAAACGTGGTAACACAGAAAACATGGATGTCATTGCCATCTCAGAAATAGTTAACGTCAGAAGTGTATGATAGTGATATTCGATTGCTTGGTTTCTTACTTAATAGGGCTGACAGACTAAACTGTAGGGGTGGTGGGGTTGTCCCGTACACGAAAAGCACCTTAACCCATGGAGTACAGGATTTTACATTGAGCCATCTATTGAAACCTGTTATCCGATAAAAAGTGGTGCTCGCCCTTTCTAGTGATTCACTCAAGAAAATGATAGACATACAGAAGCTTACTAGAAAAAGACTAACAGGCCGTGGGCCTTCAGTGCACAATATACAAATCTGAATCGGAACATTAATATACATCCTACGACTTTAACAGAGGACTCAAGCTCCCAACTTTGGAGCAAGCTTGATCAAATATGGGTAAATTTTAAGAAACGTTTCATTGAAAATTGCACCCACGTTAGGTCCTCGAGACCTGATTCTGAAATGGTGGAGAAAATTCGTAGCTCGGGTGGATGATATTGATGGAGTTTTTTTCTCTTCACGACCAAAACATCCAACTCAGAGAACAAAACCATAAAAAAGACCTGATTCTCATTGGCAACCCATGAAGGGAGCGTGATGATATGAAAAACATGTTCCAAGTAAAAACACTGCACTTTTCAACCGGATCAAGTATTGTTAGAACAAAATTGTGGTGAAAAGTGAATATGTACCAAAATAATATTTATCAGTAAACTGACCTAGGGAACTGACGTCAACCTTGAAGTTTTAAATTGCCATCTTCAGACGACAAACTCAAACATAGGCTTAGCAAAAGCAAAAAGTAACCACCAAATGGTTCAAATGGTTGTGGATAGAATAGAACAAGCTTTCGCTTAACGGGCTTCCGTGTCTAGTAGCACTGGATCACCAATACCTCCAAGCAGGAACCTAGGTATATTGACGATAAAAGAGGAGAAAGAAATTGGTAAATCATAGTATGATACTATCCTTAGTCCTTGAGAATTTGTCAAGTTTTCTCTTAAACGAATTCTGAGAAGTCGCTTGGACTAGCTTATCCAGCAGCGAATTCCAGCATCCGACTACTCTTAAGGAGTAGAAGTTGTATCTACAGTCCGTTCTCCTATGTTGTATCTCCAATTTCTGGGTGTTACCCCTGAGGTTAGTGTTGGAACTAAGATTAAGTAGGTGTTTAAGAGAATGTCCAGAAGTGTTCAAGATGCTACAAGCCATTAGAAGGTCACCTCTAAGATGCCTATACTCTAATGGGTAAGGGTTAAGTGATTGGAGGCACTCTTCATTAGGTTTACATTTGAGTCCTCGAACTGATTTCGTGGCTTGCCGTTTGATATGCTCCAGAGAATTTTTATCCTTTTGGAGTGAAGGAGGAAATACTATGTTTCCGTACTCTAAATGGGGACGAATATAACTACTGAGAATTATATGGGAAGTTCTTCCGTCAAACTGTCCAAGAATGCGCTTCAATGTTACCAGTGCAGGATTTGCTCGGAAGGCAATTTCGTCACAGTTAGCGTAAGACTTTGAATTGTAGGGCACCGGGACTCCTAAATCTTTTTCTACTTGAGGTACTACTAGAGAGGAGTTTCCTGAGTTGTAAATGTAGTCTGCGACATGTCGCAGATGGAAAACTTCATATAGCCTATCCGGGTGCATGTGGATTCCAGTTGGCAACCGACGTCTGTTGGCACTAAATGCCTCCAGGGTTGCAGCCGCCATATGGGAGGATGGTGAAGTAATCTTCATTAGCCGGGGTCTGAAATCACTGTCCCTCTTGGCTAGTCTCGTCACAAGTTGAGTCAGTATGTTTTTGAGTCTCAAGGACTGTTCGATGAATTTCCATTCCCTAATATCAGAGCTTACTTGATTGGGGTCCGTGTTTTCCGATACACTGTGGATCACCAACGTAGATGATCTATGTCGAAATGATTGGAGGCCTACTCCAGTTAGACGTGAATGGTGTGACGAACCAACTAACGTCGAAGTCACACCTCGTGGTCAGCACCTTACGTGGACTACCCCGATTGACGTAACGAGGTACTATAGATGCTTTGAAGACTGTACAACACAAAGGACGTTATTACAGAAATATATTAGTTAAGGTAGATACAGGCGAAAGTAAGACCACTGCCGCATGGGCCAGTCCATGGCGTATGATTAACTAATGCGCGTTTGTTGTACATGACCTTGGCAGGGAGCGACGATCTGTTCGACATTCAGTGATCCAACTGCCGGATGATTTGGCTAGGGCTCAGTGACATTTCACTGGCCCTACAATACTCCCCCACCAGATTCAACGGCCGTTTGAATCGGTACCAAACATGTTAGGAGCAGTCGCGCGCCGGAGAGTGCCAAACGAATATTATAAATCCTCCAGGTATTGCTTATCTGTAAAACAAATGGAAACGAGGCGGCAGAAACTGGTCGGGAAACAGCGAGTCATAATATGTTAGTAGGACGTTGCTTAAACGTAAATTGATTAGTCATAGAAATAATGAAAAGAACAAAACGTTTTATTGTTCTATCAAGTCGCGCTGAAATATATAGCCTTGACAAGTAATTCAGTTCCTCCGATGACAAACGTTAAGTCTGCCGCAAGAGTAATGATGCTATAGCGATAGTAGGATAAGTGTATTATCAATCGATGTCCATGTTTGTACTGTCATTAGTTTAAAGTTGTAAGTCGGACAGTGTCGTTGACAGCTATTAATTAGTGTCGAACTCTAGTTATATCTATATCAAACAGACTAACCGTAAGTACAGAAGTATAACAGTGAAGAGTGGTCGTGATTTCGTTGTGCGAAGCTATTGACCAACTTGTAGTCACAGTTTGAAAAGTCGATGACTGCTGTTACAGTCAGTAAGGGTTGAAGGCTACAAATCCACAGCAAAGGTGGCACGATGAAGTCTCTAAAAGATGATAAACGGTAAGTGCTGCGTGTTTGTTCGGTTAGTGAGCAGAAAAATATCGAAAAGAACATAAGAAACCAAGAGTGTCACTCTGGACTCATGTCAATGATACCCGTGAAAAACGCTGTCAGTGTTGGGATAGAGGCGACAATATCGTTTTCAGTTTGCAGGAGATTCGCTCGACTGCATAAACTGATGATTCGCGCGAATGATATTGTCGTCAGACCACCAATTGAACTGGACAGGTTGTAAATCGTCGAGTAGTTGAACAGCCGATTGATGTACCGGAATCATCTGTTAAATAACAGCCACGAGGAAACAATACTTCATAAAATGAAGTACGACATCGAAGTAGAACAACTACAATAGTTCAGATGTGTTACAATGTCAAGTCTAAATAACATCGTTCTTACGTATACTGACAGTTGCACTGAACGTTCGCCTAGGTATGATTAGCGTAACAGTTGGATGTGTGAATAAAAACATATACGAAAACTATGGTTGGGTTCGTGGAGAATTTTCGAGGACGTTTAGATATTTTCCAAACCCGTATCGCATGTAAATAAACCGAAAATAGAATTGAAATGACTGTCGTGTAATAAGTAAGTCGAGCCATGATTTACCGTGTGAATTAATAGCAAATACAAGGGGTATAATAAACATTAATTAAAATGGTAACCACCAATGTAACTAAGGTTTAGAGGGTCCAGGTAACGTGACCATTTCGTAAAAGGCTGGTGCAAAGAGCTTATTACCTAGCGTTAAGTGACATATTAAATACGACAACATGTGTACTTGGGACATGGACTAAGCGTGCTCGTGTACATGCAATATGTTTTACCACAGTATGTCGACTAACGAGTCATAAATGTACATGATTTCGACTAAAACTTGACGGCAGTGACAGAATATATGACTGGTTTACGTGAAAGCAACTACGAAATGTTATCACGCATCATAAATATAGTACGAAATAATCTAATGAAATTATGAAACTCGCCTGGTTTACTCTTGCCTCTAAGTAATGAAGATATGAAGTAGGCAGTAGTTTGAATCTGGATTATGTACGAGGTACTGTTGATTAAATTTTTCGATTAACACAGCATTGTAGACTGACGAACAGTCGTGAATTTCTAGCATTCGTATCCTCTGTTTGGCCATGGAACTCAGCAATTGGAAATTAGGCAGGCAGTGGTAAAAAAAAGTAAAACATTCTAGTGGATAGTGGTTAAGCAGAAAGATGAATTTATAGTCGACAGTTAATCTTGTCTTATTTATACCAGTGGATAAGTTACAAACAGATGTGCGTTCGTGTTGCCTTGTGGCTATACTCACGAGTGGTTGATATTTTAACAGACATATTACACAGGAGCATTTACATGCTGCTAATGCTTGTTAAAGAACCACGATAGCCGATTATAATCATAGTTGATTGGTTAGTTCTGTCGATTGAACTAAGTATTTAAGTTTAAATACTAATCAACATTGACATGAAGCAACGAAAGTTCAGTGATAGATTAACATAGGCCATAATAAAAATGAAAAAGAATAAGTATAGAATGCAATGCTAAAGATTATAGTGATAGGTTGCGTTATTCGAAGTCTTGCTCACCAGTGTAGATCACCAACGTAGATGATCTATGTCGAAATGATTGGAGGCCTACTCCAGTTAGACGTGAATGGTGTGACGAACCAACTAACGTCGAAGTCACACCTCGTGGTCAGCACCTTACGTGGACTACCCCGATTGACGTAACGAGGTACTATAGATGCTTTGAAGACTGTACAACACAAAGGACGTTATTACAGAAATATATTAGTTAAGGTAGATACAGGCGAAAGTAAGACCACTGCCGCATGGGCCAGTCCATGGCGTATGATTAACTAATGCGCGTTTGTTGTACATGACCTTGGCAGGGAGCGACGATCTGTTCGACATTCAGTGATCCAACTGCCGGATGATTTGGCTAGGGCTCAGTGACATTTCACTGGCCCTACAACACCTTGCACAATTATATTTCTTCCGCGGAAAAACTTCTCGCGAGATTCTTTAGGGATGTTCCAGATGAGATTGAGATCAGAATACGGTATGTCGGGCAGTATTCTTACGTCCCCATCGGATTTCAGTAAGTAACTAGCTAGCAAGATATCCTCTACGTCGGTAGCATTCTTAAGTGTTACACAAAGTAGCCTCGGGTTATTTTGATGCTTAGATTCCTTTCCCCGAGTGAGCCGTGTGACCGTCAAAGGCTCTATTCTAGGAAGTTCAAGTTTCTTGTTTAATTCACCCCAGAGCATCCTGTCATTTTTGTCCTGCAAACTGAGGGGAAGGTCAGGGTCGTCTTTGAGGTTTATGATTATGAGAGAGTCATCACGATCAGTTATTGTTTTCCCAGGTTTTCCGGTCCGTTCAGGTTCAGCACCATGTTGTTTGGAGGTCGAAGCACGTTTCTGAATCCTAGGCTCTTTGATGACCGGACGGACATTCTTGGGGTAGACTGTGCGACCAAATCACCAGCTGATTTCCGTACAACACTTATGATGTTTAGCTTAGATGATGACGCCTGGTTCTTTTTAGCTCTGTTAACGTTGGTCCAATCACCCACAGAGGTTTTGTGAACCATTGTTGCATTCAGGTACGTTGAGCTGGGAGACCCGAGTTTACTGAGAGAGTCTATTACCATCGACGTAATGATGGTACTGAGTTTCAGCACGTCATCATTAGTGCTAATGCATGCTCCATCGACGGAATACCTGTTGACATCCCTGTTTTCGTTGCGCGCCCTTGTTTGTCTACCCGTTTTATGACTGTCATTTTCCAAGTTTGCTGAAAACTTATTCCGCAGACCTGCCAATAGGTGTAGAATCCAAACTA